GGGATGGTCTTGTCATAAACTTTAGCGTCACAATATAAGGCTGTCGACTTTGAGGTAGGTTGCGTGTTAACATTAACTTGGGCCTTTCTTTTAACAATGATTCTTTTCTTTTGTAGTGACCTGGTTAACTCTTGTCTTAAATTAGGCACTACTCTCAGTAATTGCCCAATAGTAATATTAGCGAGCTTATCTCTTAGATCGGCTACGATAGAATAAGGGGTTACCAAAGAAGAAATTTGAAGGAGAAGACAAAAAAGAGGATTACGGGTTAGATTGGTTAGAAGAAGGAGGAAATAAGATAGAAAAAGAATATTTAATAGAAGATTTGAATGAAATACAAAACCTATGGCCCGTAACGTGTCTTGTTTCTCAAGAAGAAGAGGAATTCCAACCTATCCCCGATATTTTTGACTATTACTATGAAAATGAGGTTCGGCTTGGCGTTGAATACGAGATTGGAGAACTTGAAGAGAATCAAAAAAGACAATTAGGTCATTTGATTGATCGTAACGTAAACCTGGGTGCTCAAAGTATTCATGAGTTGGGACGAACTAATATAATTCAGCATACCATCCCCACTCAGAAAAATTTACCTATTCGGCAACGCTCTTACTGATATTCCCCAGCTGAAAAAGAGTTCTTGAAAGAGGAGATCGAGACCATGTTATCAGAAGGAATTATTAGGCCCTCTTCAAGCCCATGGACCTCTCCCATGGTATTAGTTAAACAAAAAGCCCGGAAAATGCGTTTTTGTATTGATTATCGAAAGTTAAACGCAATAACCATAAGAGACAATTATCCCTTACTACGAGTAGACGAGTTATTGGATTCTTTAAATGGGTCATCTTGGTTCTCAACATTAGACTTAGCCAGTGGGTATTGGCAAGTCGAGATGCTGGAGGAAGACAAGGAGAAGACTGCTTTTATTTCTCCCTACGAGATCTTTGAGTTTAACGTTATGCCGTTCAGGTTAAAGAATGCCCCGGCCACGTTTCAAAGATTAATAGATCAAATCTTTAGTGATTTGATCGGGAAGTTTGTCATGATATATCTTGACGACTTAAATATTTTTTCAAAAACTTTTGACGAACATTTACAACACCTAACAAAAGTTTTTGAAAGATTAGGAAAAGCTGGTCTAAAGATTAAGCCTCAGAAATATCATCTCGCGAAAAAGGAATTAAAATTTTTAGGCTACGTTATAAGCGCCCAAGGTATATCAACAGATCCGGATAAAGTTCAAGCGGTCCAAGAATTCCCCAGACCCAAAAATTTAAGACAACTACAAGGATTTTTGGGTCTAGCCTCATATTATCGTAGATTTATCTCTGGTTTCACCGATATCGCCGTACCCCTAAATACTCTATTAAAAAAAGATATTAGATATCAATGGACTCCCGAATGTCAAGAAGCTTTTGAAATGTTAAAAAAGAAACTTGTGACTGCTCCAGTATTAGCCTATCCAAATTTTATGAGACCGTTTATATTATCTACTGATGCTTCCGATATGGCTTTAGGTGCTATTCTTTCCCAAGAAGATAGTGCTGAAAAAGAAAGAGTAGTCGCCTATGCAAGTTATTCTTTGACCTCTGCTGAGAAAAATTATTCAGTAACAGAAAAAGAATGTCTTGCCATAGTTTGGGCCGTTTCTTATTTTAGACCTTACCTTCATAGTGCTCACTTTATCCTTTATACTGATCATTCAGCATTGAAATCATTATTTTCTTATCGGCTGCCCCAGAATCGACTGGCCAGGTGGATCCTGACCTTGCAGGAATACTCGTTTACTACCATTCACAAGTCCGAGAAAAATCACCTTAACGCCGATAGTCTTTCACGGATTTAGTAGATTTTTTTTTATTTATATATAATTTTTTCCTCCGTAAATTGATGACGCCAAATCCGGATAACCTTCTTTTTTTTTGATTAACGAAAACCCCCCATAGATTTAGACACATATTATTTGTTTCTTAGGTACCTTAGCGAGTCTACAGTACCTTCTAATTATGACGCTAAAGACATTAGAACATTAAAACATAGATCGCGTCATTTTCTTGTTCGAGAGGGACTTCTATACAAAAAGAATATGCGAAATCCCCTTAGAC